AAAATCAGAGTCCAAGATTTATTTATATAATTTTGTAATTTTTCCAAAAGAATGTTTGTATAGATGCGTAAAGAACTTTTTTCGCTTTGGGGAATGTTATTGGGATCGGCTTAGCTAAAATGGATTTCATATAGGTCCTTTTTACTCCTATAGCTATAATTAAATATATATATATATATTGTATAATCTATAGTTTATCAAATTTTTATTAAAATGCAATAATATATAGTTTTTAGAAGTTTATTGAAAATACTAATTTGTGAAGATGAAATCAACATACAAACAAAAACACACCATAAAATACAATATTCAATATATAATCACTACAAGAAAATACTTCAATTCCAACGAAAAATTCCAACGACAAAAAATTCTGTTGGAAATTCCAACGAATATTCCAACAAACTAAATATTATGTTGGAATAATTGTTGGATGGTTGATGAATTCAATAGATTTTTTCCTTTGGAATAGTTGTAGGAATTTATTTCCATAGGATTTTCTGTTGGATTTTAGCTATTCCAATGGCCGTTTTTCCACAAATTTTTATACGTCGGAATATCCGTTGGAATAGCTATTCCAACGGAAAATATAAAGAATTCCAGCGGAATTAATTTCCGTTGGAATGTAAGAGTTTTTTTTGTAGTGAATTAAGCAGATACACTACTTTGTTTTGTAACTTTATTATGTTGATATCTTATTAATAAATCTAAAAACTATACATCATTTCATTGAACTGAAAGATTGAATGTGAAAGATACAGATTGAATCAGAGGAAAGCTTATCTGATAAAAGAGAAAAAGGAGAGAAAACGGGTAAAGAGAAAAGTGTCTCTCCAAACCCTAAAAACACCTATTTATAATAATGTTACAAGAGGAAATAATGCAACATAAGGGACCTATCTGCAAATAACAGAAATATTAAAAAATACAAAGAATAATACATAATCTAATATCCCCCCGCAAGATGAACATTGTTAACATGAATGTTAAGAATGTTCATCTTGGAAATACAGTTTCTGAAAGGCTGAGGGTGAAGAGCCTTGGTCAGCACATCAGCTACTTGCAGTTCAGAGGGTACATGCTGAAGTTGGATGATGCCCTTTGACAGCTTTTCTCTAACAAGATGGCAGTCTATCTCTATATGCTTTGTTCTCTCATGATGCACAGGATTTTTGGCTAATGCTATGGCTGATTTGCTATCTGAAAATATAAGAACAGGAGAAGAGTGAGTGATATGTAAATCTTTGAGCAGATATAAGAGCCATTGAGCTTCACAAGTAGTGGAGGCCAAGGCTCTATATTCTGCTTCAGCAGAAGATCTACTAACAGTAGGTTGCTTCTTTGATTTCCATGAAATAAGAGATTTTCCCAAGAAAAAAGCATAACCAGTAACACTCTTTCTAGTATCTAAGCAACCTGCCCAGTCACTATCACAGTAACCATTGAGAGAGAGTTCAGAGGATCTGGGATAGAATATACCTTGGACAACTGTAGCTTTTAAATACCTGAGAAGTCTGTGAGCAGCATCCATATGGCTTTGATTTGGTTTTGCAACAAATTGACTTAACATTTGAACTGAATGAGAAATGTCAGGCCTTGTAATTGTAACATAGAGTAATCTGCCAATTAATCTCCTATAGGAGGTACTATTAATGGCAACAGAATTATCATTGCAGGAAAGTTTCACATTGGGATCCATGGGTGTGGAAGCAGGTTTACTAGCAAGAAATCCAGTGTCAGTAAGAATATCTAAAACATATTTTCTTTGACATAATTGAATTCCTTTTTCAGAGTGTGCCACCTCAATGCCCAAAATATATTTTAAAACACCCAGATCCTTAATAGTAAAACAACAGTCAAGGTGCTTTTTGATAGCAAGAATGGCAGTCAAATTATCACCAGTCAGTATTATGTCATCCACATAAACAAGTAATATCAGTGTATAATCAGTGGATGAATGAACAAATAAAGATGAATCAGCAGAGGATTGAGTGAAACCATATTCCAAAACAAGTTGTTAATTTATGGAACCATTGTCTTGAGGCCTGTTTAAGGCCATACAGACTTTTCTTTAACCTGCAAACTCTAGAGTCAGAAGCAGAAAGATAGCCTGGGGGTGGCTTCATGTACACAGTTTCATCTAACTCACCATGTAAAAATGCATTATTGACATCAAGTTGATGCAAATGCCAATGTTTGAGAGATGCTAATGCAATAAGGAGTCTAACAGTAGAGATTTTGGCCACAGGGGAGAAGGTATCAAAATAATCAATACCTTCTTCCTGAGTGTACCCTTTGGCAACTAATCTTGCCTTATACCTCTCAATGCTACCATCAGACTTATACTTAACCTTATAAACCCATTTACAGCCTATACAGTGATTGTTTTTGGGTAAGTCTACAAGTTCCCAAGTATTGGTACTTTCTAAAGCATGAATTTCTTTTTGCATAGCTTGCTGCCATAAAGGATCTAAGTTGGCTTGTTTATAAGTCTGAGGTTCAGTTATTTGAGAAATAGATGCAGTAAAACAAGCATATTCATGAGATAAAGAAGAAACAGAAAGAAATTTGTTTATTGAATGTGGTGTACCAGGATTGTCTTCATGTACTGCCATTGTAGAATTTAAAGAAGATGGTAAAGAATGTTTATATATCTGCAGATAATGTGGTGGTTGTCTATGTCTGGATGATCTCCTCAGAGGTGGTGAATTTGAAGATGTGGTTGGGATTGTAGGATCTGGTAAAGTAGATGATTGAGTAGGACTGCTAGAGGAATGAGTAATAGGCTGTGTGGTAGTATGCACAACTGGTTGTGGGACTGTAGGAGCAGTAGGTGAGTTCTGTGGTGTACCAGTAGAACCAACAGGATTTGGTGTATCAAATATAAAAGAAGATGGTTCTGGAAACATAGGGGTAACAGAATCAGAAAAGAATTTAGTGTGTTTGTAAGGCAGCACATGTTCATAGAAGACAACATTCCTGGATATTATTATGTTCTTGGATTCCAGATTGTAAAGCCTATAACCTTTACAACCAAGTGGATATCCAAGTAGAATGCATTTTGAAGCTCGAGGGTCAAATTTTGACCTATGTGCAGTAATAGTTGATGCATAACAGAGGCATCCAATCACTTTTAAATGGTTAAGAGTAGGCTGTTTGCCATAAAGTTTTTCAAAAGGTGAAATATTTTTATGAATGGATGAAGGCAATCTACTGATGATGTGGGTGGCTGCAGTAACACAATCAATCCAAAAATGAAGAGGGAGATGAGCATGAAATAAGATAGCCCTAGCAACTTGCAATAAATGTTGATGCTTTCTCTCTACTCTGCCATTTTGTTGTGGTGTTTCTACACATGATTTTTGATGTATGATGCCATGGGAATTATAAAAATCATGCAATAGAAATTCAGTTCCATTATCAGACCTGATGGTTTTAATCTTTTTTCTGAAACTGAGTGAGAGCAAGATTATAGAAGTGAATCAGTAGTTGCTTAGTGTCAGATTTGTGAGCAAGGGGATAAATCCATGTAACTCTACTATAATCATCAACAATGGTGAGGAAATATTTATGCCCAGAATGAGATGCTACAGAAAATGGACCCCATAGATCACAGTGCACAAGTTCAAATGATTCTGATGCAATAGACATACTATTTTCAAATGGTAATTTCTTTTGTCTGGCAAAATGACATGTATCACATGGTATACTACTGAATTGTTTGCATACAGAAGAGGAACAATCAGGTAATGTAGCAATTTTGTGAAAAGACAAGTGACCAAGTCTGTTATGCCACAGTTCAGATGAAGAAAGTACAGACACAGGTTTATCTATGCCTATTACATGAGTATCAGCAGTATGATTGTCTGTAACAACATTTGCAATCTTTACAGAACTAGAATTAGAAAATGACATATGATAGAGTCCATGCTTGGCCTCAGCAAAACCAATCATTTTGTTGGTTTGCAGGTCCTGTAGAGTACAATAAGAAGATGCAAAGTTGACAGAACAATTATTGTGAGCAGTCAATTTAGATACAGAGATAAGGTTAAAAGTAAATGAAGGAACATATAGTACATTGTACAACACAAGATTAGGCCCCAGGTTAACCTGTCCCACATGGCATGCACAAGTACTTTGTCCATTGGGTAATTTAATAGAAATAGAAGTTTTTGTAGGAGTAGAAGAATAGAAAGCAGGGTCACAGATCATGTGATCCGTGGCACCAGTGTCAAGAATCCAAGTTTTGTTGGTAAAATTAGTAGTAGACTGACATGAAAGAGATATTGTACCTTGTTGTTCTATGTGAACAGTGGCAGCAACAGGGGATGACTCAGCCTGAGCCTTACCCTGTTTGTTAGCAAAGGACCTTTTGTATTCTAAAAACTCAGCAAAAAAACTGTCAGTCATGGAATTTGTTGATTGCTTAGGAGAAGTAGAGGAGTTCACAACATTGACAGAGGAATGATGAGAAGGATGAACTCTAGGACCCTTAGGACCTATCCAGTTAGCAGGATAACCAATAATCTGGTAGCACTTTTCAGTGGGATGATTATAACCACAGTGGTCACATTTAACCTTTTTCTTATCTTTAGGACCAGGACCAGGATTTTTGAAATATTTGGGTGCAGACTTGGCTAACATGGCAACAGAGTCAAAGGACTTTGAAGGTTGTTGTAAGTTTCTTTGGCTTTCTTCTTGTAACAAAAGTGAATAGACTTTAGACAGATTAGGCAAAGGTGAAGACAACAAGAAGTGACTCCTAAGCGCAGAATAAGAGTCATTTAAGCCAATCAGGAATTTCATAACAGAGTCATTGTGTTGA